GCTGAACCAGTCCTAAAATTGTAATTTGATAAAGATTTATCAATTCATTGCAAAAAAAAAAAAATTTTAATAATTAATATATTTTTTTATGTTGTTGTAATAAGCTTCTTATGCTCACCAAGGCTGAATTTATTTGATTAAAAATACAGTAACAGCAGCAATATAATGAAATATTATTACAATTTTACATAACTGTTTTCTATTTGAATATATTTTAAAAATGTAATATTTTCCAGTGAGGGCAAAGCTACATTTTCAGCAGCCAAAAATTCAGCTTTGCCATCACAGCAATAAATGACATTTTAAAATATATTCAAATAAAAAGCTTCTTTTAAATTGCAATAATATTCCACAATATTACTGTTTTTACTGTCATTTTAGTCAAATAAATGCATAGGCGTAGACTTCTTTTTCAAAAACATTAAAAAATAATAATAAAATAAAAAATGGTAGTGTGTATTTCCATGAAATACCTGTAAAAATGGAGCAGCAGCCATGGTCTTAGGGATATGAATAGTTTTAGTGCCCCGATCTTGTTCTGGCACTTGTATAGTAGCAGGTCTTTGTATTTTATGTCCAAATACTGAGTTTGTTTTGCCTGGATAAAGGGAAAAATTAAGTCCTTTCATTGAATATTTAGTTATAGTTTACATGACAGATATTAATAAAGTAATAGTTCCCAGATAATAGTTAGCTACACATATGACAGCCGTTTGTCTTAAGAGGATTTTTAGAATGCCAGTTTGGTCCCACTCAACTGGGTCAGAGACTCTGGTTACTCTGTCCAAATTATACAGGTGTAATGTTTCTGTAATTTACACAGATTAAGCGTACTACTGTATCCATATGGAAAAAAACTAGTCAGGTTGCTAGGGGAAAAAATTGTTGTGTTTTGAGTTCAAACTTAGTGTACGTGCTATTGCAGATGTATATACTGTATTTACAGATGTATACAACAGGAAAATGCAAAAGAGGTGCTGTAGAAATGCAGAGATGTGATTCAAGAACTAACAATTTTAGGATAGTACAACATGCAAAATAACGCACTGACGTTATGTAAATTATACAAAATTATTTTAAAGCACATGAGCCTGTTTGCTCGTACAGGACAATTAAATTATAGAAAGTGGAAAATTAGCTGACATTAATATAATTTTAATTTTGCAAATCTCATTTAAGCATCTTTTCTGTTAAAGATAGTGTTAAGTTTAACCTCTAAAACCTACAACAACTTTGTAAAAAGAATGAAGAGAACTAAGATTGTACATTTTCATTATATACAGTATATGTAAATATATAGGCCATATGAGCAATTACAGTACAAAGGCAGCTATTGCTAATCTGGCCAATTAAAAATTATTTCTGAAACAAACTTACCAGCTTGCACATGACTGAGACCAGATGGCCTGTCAAAACATTATATCACAGGAAATTCATAATGTATGTGACAACAACACTATAAAGTCATTTGCATAGCCGTTGTATGATATTCTGAGGCTTACCTTAAAGGCAAAAACGACTTTTTGTGGTACAGACGACTTTTATCGTTGTTTTCAAGGAATTTCACGTGCTTTTTCATGCTGGAGTGTTAACGTTACCTGAACTGAGACTTGAATATTTACAAGTGATATAAGGCGACCTGTAATCCCATCCGATACTGAGCGCGTTTCCAGTGTTTTGACCTCAGCGGCTTCCGTAGGTGACGGAAAACAGCATGGCTGCTATAGATATTGTAAGTACAAGACATTGCTGAGGCAAATAGCGTTTTTGGGTGAAATACGTGAAAACGACATACCATCTAGTGCTGTTGGAGCTGGAGAATTAACAATGCCTCGATACGCGCAACTAGTGATGGGTCCTGCCGGAAGTGGAAAGGTAATTCAGTACCAGGAGGACTAGTTGCGTTAACATACTAAATGATCCTCAGTAGTTATGGTTTTATTTAATTGTGTGCATATCTATACTGAAGTTTTAAATTTAAAACACCAGTCTGGTCTGTTTTGATAGTAATTATTTTAGCCTAAGCAAAGCACAATAATTGAACCATTAATATATCGCTTCTTACTATGGGGTATAGTGATTTTATATTGAATCCGAGTTGTTTTCTGTATTCTTCAGAGTACTTACTGTTCCACGATGTTAGAGCATTGTCAGGCCCTCAACCGATCTGTACAGGTGGTGAATCTGGATCCAGCTGCAGAGCATTTTGACTATCCTGTCATGGCAGGTCATGAATCAATATCAATATATATATATATATATATACATACACACACACACACACACAGATACACAGTCTCAGAGCAGTTTATATCAGAAGGATTTTAGGATCATCATGAGAAACAAATATAGTCAAGGGTTCTCAAGCATTTCACTGGTAGACTCTAATGTGCAGACAGTAATTGTGTCATTATTTACATTGTTTTAATTATTTACATTGAGAAAAACAAGATATCAAGTTAAAAAAAAAAGAAAATAACATGATTTTGGTATTTATTAATTGAAAGTAAGATAAAAAGTCAAAAAATAAATGTAATTACCTTTTAATGAAATATTACAAGGGCAAAAAAGAAAAACATATATGGATGAATCCTCTAAAATAAGATGTATCATTCATATGCGTTTAGAAAATAGATAGGTGATGAATTTTGATTTCATTATCATTTAAAGTTAAGAAGTCAGAGTTTTCTAATAAGTATTTTTACATTGCATATTTTATCAATTCAAAAGTCATACAATTTGTATTTCATAACTAGGGTTGCAACTGCCCTCAAAGCCAAGGTAGATATAGAAATAGATATAGATATCAACTTTATTGTCAGACAATGGCTGAAATATTTCTTGCGTAACAGTATGTTTCTTGCACACTACATGGTTACAAACAAAATACAACATTTCACAGTAGACATAGACACACTAAATATGATAGAATAAAAAAAACAATTCTCAATAAATGCTCAATAAATTTCTGTAACATGCTTATTTTTAAAGACATGTCATATGTTCTGTTACAATTTTCACTGTATACAGATATTCGAGAATTGATCCAGGTAGATGACGTTATGGAGGATGACTCTCTGAGATTCGGCCCCAACGGAGGACTGATCTTCTGTATGGAGTACTTCGCTAACAACTTTGACTGGCTGGAGGAGAGTCTTGGCCATGTGGAGGACGACTACATACTGTTTGATTGCCCTGGTAAGAGGTGATGTGCCAGATGTATGGTGCTGTTGAGGATTGGCATGGAACGATACAGAGCATTGTGTCCTCTGGACTGCAGGTCAGATCGAGCTGTACACGCATCTGCCTGTAATGAAGCAGCTCGTGGAGCAGCTGCAGCAGTGGGAGTTTCGCGTGTGTGGAGTCTTCCTGGTTGACTCACAGTTCATGGTCGAGACCTTCAAGGTAATGTTTGGCACATGGCAATGACAAAAAATTTAAAATATATGTATTTACAGTTTTATAAAGTGGAAATTAAGTCTGATTCGGCAAGCATGGGCTGTTTTTTTTGCGATTTGGTTAACAAATTATTGAAATTAATTAATTTTTGGTACTTCTTTTTATTTTTTATCTAGTTTATCTCTGGAGTTATGGCTGCTTTGAGTGCTATGGTGATGCTAGAAACCCCACAAGTCAACATAATGACCAAAATGGATCTACTCAGTCCAAAGGCTAAGAAGGAAATAGAGAAGTATGTTCATGTAATGCGATCCACTTATAATTCACTTTATCCTAGATTTAAATGACATGACGGTGTTTTTTTTTTTATTTTATTTGCAGGTATCTGGACCCGGACATGTACTCAATGATGGAGGACAACTCTGTAGCTTTGAGAAGCAAGAAATTCAAGAAATTAACCAAGGCCATATGTGGTTTGGTAAGTTACAATTACAAAGATTCTGCCTCCTGTTGAGGCATTGATAAATACAGTGTGATTTTTATGATAAAAATTGTGATTACAATTAAAAATTAGATTTTTTATATATATATATATATATATATATATAAGAGTTTCAGGTTTGCTGTGCTTGTTTGTTGGACTGCACAATTTTGGCAAATAATCATATTGACTATATACCAATATGACTATAAAATGATGATCATATTAATTATTATTATTACTATTAATAGTAATAATAATCATTCAAAACACTGAACAAATTAAGGAATATATTGCTATTTTAATTGTACTAAATCAATATAAATACGTTGACTATTTAATAATAATAATAATTATATATAATATTCAAAATAATACTTTTATTTTAGAGTACAACACTAATGTGTCTTAATTTCCTAATTTTCTTTTTCATTTTCCATGGAAAACCACCGGGAGCCCTAAAGCTCTCCTTTGTTGGCTACAGGTTTATAAATGTTTCTAATTACAGACCTGGTGAAATGCTTTACTCAGAAACACACAGCATATATATTTATTTAAAGGGGTCCTATTATGCTTTTTCACTTTTTCAACTTTCTTTCCTTTTTGATAATCGCACTAAGCCATATAGTAATTTCAGTTTTTGATTTTGATTAATCGTTCAGCCCTAGCATATTTCATATTCAATTTCAAGTTTTACAATCATTCTGTAGTTAATAACTAAGATGGCACTGTTTTCTTTAGATTGATGATTACAGTATGGTTCGTTTCCTGCCCTTTGACCGCACTGATGAGGAGGGCATCAGCATTGTCCTGCAGCACATCGATTTCTCCATACAGTATGGTGAAGACCTGGAGTTTAAAGAGCCCAAGGTTTGCGCATAAGGTTGCTGCCATATGCTATGAACTGATGTTTGATTCTAAGATATTAAGTCTATAAGTCTAAATTGGTTTTAGATTACAACAAAATTAGCAATTTGCAAATTAAAGTGCTCAATCCCCCCCC